TGCCCCTGGGCAACTGCTGCCCCTGGAGCTCAAATGATTGATTATTCTAAGGCCGGGGTGGGAAGCCTTTTTTTCCTGCCAAGGGCCATTTGGATATAGATAACCTCATTCCCGGGCCATACAAAATGATCAACTTAAAAGTTAGCCTGCTCTCGTTGGTTAAAAAATAGTTCATTAACTCATCCCTAATGTGAGAGCTACTAGGAGCCCTGGTGGTGTAGTGGCTATGTGTTGGGCTGCTCTCCACGAGGTCAGCAGTTCAAAACCATTGGCCACTCCTTAGGAGAATGACTAGGTTTTCTACCCCAGTAAAGAGTTATAGTCTCAGAAACACACAGGGCAGTTCTACCCTGTCCTGTAGGGTCGCTATGAGTTAAAATCGAGTCAGTGGTTTTTTGTTTTTAATGCAGTGACTGGACCTGCTTCTCTTCGGTGAGGCATGTAGTGTTACTTGTTGTTGATTTCACTGGTGTTCTATGAGTACCCCACTCATCTTATTGTTTTCTTTACAGACCTGTCTATTGTTTGGCTGAAAAATGAGCCATGGAGGCGAGTTTATCTTCAGAACTGAAGGGTGACTAAGGGCCACATTCTCAGGGGTTCCACCGGTCTCTATCTGACAACTGGGCCTGGTGTCGTCTATCATTTCGTGTTTTGTCCTACATGTTCTCCCACTGGATCCAGGATCTCCTAACGTGATCCCTTTCAGAGCAGTTGGTAGTTGGTTGCCAGACACCAGCTAATCCTTTGGATATCCTGGGTCTTGGAGACCGAAGTTTACATGGTCCAGAAATCTTTTGAACTAAATGTTTCCATGTGCCTTTTATCTTCTTATCTCTTCTTTCTTCCCAATGGGAGAGACCAATAGTTGTATCTTAGATGGCCACTCACAAGCTTTGAAGATAACCCCTTCATCCCCCCCAATCCCCCCACCTCACCCCCGTCACTACTCACCAAAGTAGGATGCAGATCATTGTCTTTGTAGACTATGCTAAGTCAATTGACCTTGGTGACCCTTGAGATCATGATCTTAAGCCTCAGGCTCAGTATTTGACGATGTCTAAGAAGTTTTCATAACTTTGGAAATGGCATTGTGCTTGACGCATCCCTGACTAAATCAAAAAGGACTCTGGGAACAGACTGTAGATCTCATTCTTGGGCTTGTTGTCTTGGCATCTACTCAGGATGCTTTCCTTCCAAAATTCCAGTTACTGCTCTTGTTGCACATTAAGCTCCTCAAATTTTAAGCAAATAGCCCACCATATACCTAGGAACATCTGAAATGTTTCTAACAGCGCTGTTCTGTTTCCCTAAAAAGAAAAACAACAGCCACCTACATTAACATCACACTGCAAACACAAAGCACTCCAAGACATTTGTTGTACAAATTGTTTTCTAATTTGTTTTCTTCCTATAACACGAGCAAACTTGCAAACAAGTAGTCTCACTGAAAGACAGACTGGATTGACATAAGTCATTTCAAGAACAGTGCTGAAATCACGATCACATTAAAGCTTTGCCCAGGAAGGCGAGACGGGTCCCATAGCGAAAACAGTCCACTGACAAGAAGGGAGGACGCGACACCTAAGAACTGCTCAGATCCAGCCGGCGAGGAGCCAAGCCAGGTTTCCCCAGCCCTGCACCCAACCTGCAGGGCCTTCTGCAAGCAGCGAGCTCCGTATGAGGAGCAAGACTATGTGAGATGCTGGAGTCCTTACTCCTCCCACCGTGGTCCTTGAGCCAGGAGTGTGGCTGCCACCTGTCAGCGGGAGAACCCGTTACTGTGACTCAGTTCAACACATGGTCACCCTGTAGGCTAGGGAACTGCTCCCTAGGGTTCCCAAGGCTGTGATTTTTAAAAAAATCATTTTACTGGGGGCTTGTACAACTCTTATCCCAATCCATATAGACATCCATGGTTTCAAACTACTGACCATGTGGATGGCAGCCCAATGAGTAACCACTACAAGTTACATGCGACAGCCTATCATTATGTCGGAATATCTCATTAAACATAAGGTACAGCACAGTACTCTGTAGACATAGGGAGAGAGCAGATCTGAGTGGGAGGACGGAAAGGTTGTAGGTGGTGGTATGTTAGCCGGTGAGTTCAGGGAAGTTCTTCCAAGGGGGCGACATGTGCACAGAGCACCGAGTGAAGGGATGGATTGAGCCATCAGTATCTTGGAAACAAGCGTTCCAGGTGGAGGGAGCTCAAAAGCCAGGGTTCTGTCAAGCTCTTAAAGGTTAGAGTTTGTGCCATTGTCCGGGACATTACGCACATGTGCTCAGAAGGAAGTCCAGGCATGGCTCCTGCTCCTTCCTCCTCTTCACGAGCCACTCAGCATCTGAGAAGAACACCGCCCCCAGAGGGGGAGGACAGCCTCTCTACTAAAAAGCGTGGTCTCTCGGGACAGCACTGGCCCTCGGATCCTCTTCAAAGTTTCTATCCCCATGAACTCGCCGTCTCATTACTGAACTTTCACATCACCCTGGCTGTGGGGCTGTGATACCATCACAGGTCACTCTGTTGGGATTCATTCGGCATGTTTGACCCTTCTGTGATTCCTAGACATCTGTTAGCCAGCCACACGGTCTGCCTCTGGGCTTTCATGGGTCGCTTCACATCTAGGGCGTGCGGCCAACTGGTAGGGGCTGTGTGACTGCATGAATCTGCATGGCCCGGCCGGGCTTCACCCCACCAACCCCGTCATCTGAGAATCTCGAGATGTCCGGGGTCCCATTGATGGTGTCAGAATCCATATTCCCTCAGAATGATTCCTTTTCATTCTGTTCAAATGACCTGCAGTTACCGAAAACATACAGTTTCACACACACACACACACACACACACACACACACACACACACACACACGCTTCAAAGCAGAAGCAATTCCGTTTTGAAAGGGTGAAGTTCTTTTCCGTGGTAACTGGGATCATCTTTACTTCTAACACTTTTGTTGCCATTCGTTCATCTTGAGCCTCCTCGTGCCGCTGTATTGCTTCAAATGCTGGTAATGCCAGGCCATCTTACCATCTTTTAAACCAGTGATTCCCAACCTTCCTTGTGCCGCGACCCTCTAATACAGTTCCTCGTGTTGTGGTGACCCCCAACCATAACATTATTTTCGTTGCTACGTCATCACTGTCATTTTGCTACTGTTATGAATCGTCATGTAAATATCTGATATGCAGGATGTATGTTCATTGTTACAAATTGAACATAATTAAAGCATAGTGATTCATCACCAAAACAATTTGCAATTCTATATTGTAAAATATTTATTTCTAATGACAAATAAATGAAATTTTGTCTTGAAGCATGGTGTAGCATGGGGAACAGTCTTCACACCCGGTCTGTGGGTGTATCTACATGTGGGCGGACCTGCCTGGAGACAGACAGAGGAGTGGTGTCTCGCTACCTAAGACCATGGGAAATCTGTTTTCCGATGGTCTTAGGCAACCCCTGTGAAAGGGTCATTTGACCCCCAAAGAGGTCTCGACCCACAGGTTGAGGACTGCTCTTTTAAACAGATGACTTGGTTGATGAATAAAGGTGATCAGAACCAAGGGCTCAGGTAGAAATTGTTTTGGAAACATTGATGCTAACATGTGCATGAGTGTGCTTCATACCATTGAATGATGGATAGTGATAAGATTTGTAAGAGCCCCCCAATAAAATGATTAACTAACAAAAATAATTTAAAAAATAAAGGTGATCAGAGTAGAACTTCTTGGCCAATAACTAGGTCAGTAATACCAGTGAGTAGCCTAGTGTTCCCGTAGACCTCCCCTTTGAATGGGGGGTGGTGGGGGTGCAGAGGGGCGGGGAACTGAGAGCTCCAAGTTTGTAGACCAGGCAGCAATCGGTAGGCTTTTGGGGCGGGCCCATGGGTGGGATTGGGTAGGCAAACGTGTGGGCTCCCTCAGTGCCAAACAAGCAAAGCTCCACTACAGAGTGTTGACCCCCATCCTGAGGTCCTGAGGTCTACCCCAAGCAGATGGTTCAAGTTCATTGGACCTTGACAAATCCCTCTCGAGCCAGCTGCTCATTCGTGTGGGGATGAAGAGCCCCACTTTTGTCTGTGCAACCTTTTCATTGGCTTCCGGAATGCTGCTCATCATCCAGTCCTGCCCTCTGTGCCAGTTAACTCCAAATTGGACCCATCAATCAAAGGAGTTCTGCTGCCTGTTTTGAAGGGCGACTTCCTCTCTGATCCCTGGCTGCTCTCCGAGAGCCCCTGTCGTACGATGGCTGCTGTTTTCAGTGTTGTTGTTGTTGTTAGGTGCCAGCTTGTCCGTTCTGACTCGTAGCAACAACCTCCGTACCAGGGAACGAAACAATGCCCGGTCCTGCGCCATGCTCGCAATTGCTCTTATGTTCGAGCCCCTTGTAGCCCCTGTGCCAGACCATCTCGTGGGCTCACGGAGCGCCTTCCTCTCTGCTTTGTTCTGGCCCTTGACCGAGCAGCACGTGCCTCTCTGGGAACTGCTCTCTGTGCGGTCAGCGCACAGTAGGCTTGCAGCCAACAGTGCCCGGGAGGAGCGTGTGTTAGCACACCCCAAACAGACCCACGGGAAGATCTGCGTTGTCGCTTTTACAACAGAAGCTTGGGCAGTGGGGGGAGGGGTCCTTATTCTGAACCAGGGAGCGTATGAAGGAAGGACAGGAAGCAGGCTCTTTCTGCAAGGGCCGTCACACAGGTCATGGCAGCTGATGGCCGCTTGGCTGGAGGAGGGCCAGCACAGACTGGACAGTGGGAGAGGTGGTTTCCCACCTGAGGCCACTTGTGGTTGATTTGCATATCCCTGCCCTCTGCAGCTCCCCGCTGCGTCCCTCTGCACCCCATCCAAAGACCTTCAAAGACCCACACCATTTCCTCATCTTGTTTCTTGTGGCATGGGGTGGGGGAAGAGAGGGGTGGCTGGTTTGCACCGGCATCTTCCCAGGGTCTGTAGACTCTTTGGAAAGACCTTCTGGCTTCTCTTTCCCCCGCAGGCTTCTGAGGACCCAGTCCCTGGAGTGGTTCTACAACAACGTGAAGAGTCGCTTCAAACGCTTTGGCAGCGCCAAGGTCCTGAAGAACTTGTACAGGAAGCACCGATTGGAGAGCGGAGGGTGCTTCGACGTCCTAGGTACTCCGACGGCCTGCTGCTGGACCGGTCTTCGGTGGGCTGGTGGGATAGAAGTCTTCGGTCTCAGGCCCTGGGCATTGGGGCACCCTCTCTTATGACAGGAGCAAACATGGTCTTACTGTCTGCTTCTCCTGAGGAGCAGAAGGGGAAGGACAGATGCCATACACTAAGTTGGGCTCCTTTGGTTCCAACTCCTTCATGTGGTTAGGGTTGATATGGGAGGAGCGTGGATTACCAATGTATGCCTGGGAGACAGTGAACATTCTCCTTCTGGTTCCCTGGAGAGTAAGGAGTCTTGGTGACCCCATGGCTGGGTATGGAGATGCTAACCAACAACTAGGCAATTTGAGCCCATCCAGTGGTTCTTTGGGAGAAAAAGCAGATGTCTGTTCCCTGAAACACGATCCAAATCAAAAACAAAACCACCGCACCCCACCAGAAAGTTGATTCTGACCTTTGCGAGACCCTGTAGAACATGGTAGAACTGCCCTTTGGGGTTTCTGAGACGCTAACTCTTTAGGGGAGTCGAAAGCCTGGTCTTTGTCCTACAGGGCAGCTGGTGGTTTCAAACAGCTGACCTGATGAGTAGCAGCCTAATACGTAACCACTACACCATCAGAACTAGCCTGAAAACCTATGTACAAATGTGCTGGAGACAATGGGTGTATGGATTGTTATAAGAGCCCCCAATAAAATGATAAAAATAAAAGGTCTGCGGACCAGTTCTCCATCACGTGGGGTGGCTGGGAGTGAGAATGAACCCACTGGCACCCACCAACGGCAGCCTCGGGGCTGGAAGGTGTCTGACCACCATCTCCCAGGCAGTCAAACCGGGACATCATCTTCGTTCGTTTGTGCCCAGACGCTGTGCTCCCGACACTGGGACTCCCTTACTCAGTCTGTTGTGACCAGACCCAACCTTTGATGTCAGAGGAGAGTCAGGAAATGATCCTCTCCCTCCCAGCGAGCTTCAAGAATGAACTTGACCTGTGGTGTTGTGCCGCAGGTAAGACAGCACCGTTCATTAGAATTAGAAATGACGGCAAGTTCACCATCACAACTGAGTGTGAGAATAGGAACATCCTTTCTTCCGGTAAACCGAAAAATGAACACTCAAACCCAGTGTCGTTGCGGCGATTTTGCCTCGTGGTGATCCTACAAGAGTTCTGATGCTGTCCATCTCTATGGGAACAGACTGCCTCATCAGGCTCTCACAAAGGGACAGGAGGGCTTGAACTGCCAACCTTTGGGTGATCAGTCCAGCACTTATCCAGCCGTGCCACTAGGGGCCCTTATATCCTCCAATGCTGCAGCCATTAATTCTGTCTAGAGGCAGATTGTTTGCTTGTTTTTGACCACTTTGCTGACACAGGTAAATGCTTTTTATCCACAAGAATCAGGAAGAGAGAAGAAGAAAAAAGTTCCTTCCATCTCGTTTGGAAGGGTTGTGTTTAGCCGTCATTATTGTACGTTGTTGTATTCTCAATAAAGTCTCTGGTTGTGGCTTATCTAAAAATATGCCAGCCACTTAGACATGGGAGGAAATGGGACAGCGACATTAGACAGAGAAAATCATTAGTGCCTTCTGTGATCGTTGTTAGAAACTGTCTTTCAAACTGCTCAGGAAGCCTGTCGCTAAGAAAGCCCTGCTAAAGGTTTCCTTTTAGTATTCTTATTTTTCTTTTTTTTAACTACATTTCAAAAAAGAAAGGCTCTAAGAATGGAGTTTTAAAAGAAGCAGTGCTCCCAGCCAATGGTTTCTCCAACCCAAAGAGATAGCCCAAGATTGAAAATGACTTACTCATGTGTACCCCATCCTCTGATCTCTTGTACATCTTTGAGCGTGCTCCCTGGACCCTCTTCAATGTCACCAAATTCAAATCTCTGCTGCTTTAAGCCCAACTGAGGAAGGAAAAACAAGTGAAGAAGTCAGCTGTTGGAACACAGTGAATTCTCTCCCTTTGACCCCGAGGCCCCACTGGTGGAGAGAGAGCAAGTGAATCCCAAGGTGGGCATTTTAAGGGTGTTGAAATGTACATGTGTCCTTGTCAAAGAAGGGGCCTTGGCTCTGAATAAGTGCCTGCCACAACTGAAGCCAATGGAGGTGCTGGGCACCCTACATCCTTCTGGGAGCCTGCCCCCCCCAGCACGTCCTAGATTGCAGGCAGGTGAAGGTTTGTAAAGTGGCCACTCCTGGTGGACTGTGGTATGGAAGTGATCAAGTAACACCCAATTCCCTGCCACAGAGTAGATCCCAACTCGGAGTGACCCCGTAGGGTGGAGCAGAACTGCCCCAGTGGGTTTCCAAGGTTATAACTCTTCATGGGAGCAGAAAGCCTCCTCTTTTGCCCACAGAGAGGCTGTGGATTTGAACTGCTGACCTTGGGGTTAGCAGCCCAACACATAACCCATTACCTCCCATGGCTCTTGCTGGCACTCCTTGGGTCTCAATATTGTGCTTGTTTGACCTTCCAAGCATTTTATGGGTACCAAAACCCCCTACAAACATATTCAAAATCAGTTACTTTCACATGATTTCAATGTGATCTTCACTTCAACGGAAATTATTTCTTTGGGAGAAGCATGAAGACCAGCCGACCAGAGACAGGTTTTTAAGGTGATACTCGGAAAGCTGTCATCGTGAAAAGCTGGAACTTAGGCTACACTTGACCAGCAGGTGGAGTCCTACCTCAAGTGTGGATCGGCAGCCCCTAGGCCTGAAAGGGGCTCCTGGTTGTATTAGAGTGCTGCGGGGTGGGCGGGGGGGGGGGGGACCTCGGTTGAACCCACCACCTTTCACACTTTTTATATAGCTGTCCCTGCTATGCTCCATCCTGCCTGCATGTTAGCATCACCTTTGAAAAATGATCCCAGTATCGGAGACCATCCTTCATCCCCAGCCAATGACTCCCGGAGCCCCACTGTAAGAGGGGGGGGTCATTCCCCGGCCTTGGTTGAAGGTATAGCCAAGGCTGACCACCTCACAAGCTTGAACGTTCCTACAATGAGCTCAGCCACCTTCTGAGGAAGATGGCTCCGACGTCAACCCCAGCGGGTGGTGTGGGATCTTGGAATCACGGAGCCCAGAAGAACGAAACACAGCCTGGCTGGCCCTGTGCTAGCCGCCCCATCATTTTCAGAGCAGATCACTGTGCTCCTGGGGTTTGATTGGCATCCTTACATAAACGGAGTGCCAGGCCTTTCCTCCTAGGTGCCTTGTCCCAAAGCACTGCATCACAGCAAACCCACATACACGTCTCCCCTGAAAGACAGATAGGCCATGGCTTCACATAAGGTGCATCAGCAGGAACTGAACCTGGTCTCCTGCATAAATGAGGAGAATTCTATTAGGGAAGCCACACCGCCGCACATCAGCACAATTGTTTTGATTGTGAGAATGTAATAGGCAGCATCCGCTGTGGGCAGAGCCTGTGCTATTGGAAACCACACCACTCTATTAATAATTTAAAAGGCAATTGGACATCTCCTTACAGAAGGGTCGCAGGGAGAAGACAGGCCAGTCAGGGTGCAGTACAGCACCGATGAAACATACAGCTTTCCTCTAGTTCTTTAATGCTTCCTCCCCCCACTATCATGACCCCAATTCTACCTTACAAATCCAGCTAGACCAGAGGATGTACATGGGTACAGATAAGAGCTGGAAACACAGGGAATCGCAGAACAGATAAATCCCTCAGGACCAATATTGAGAGTAGCCATACCAGGAGGGGAAGAGGAAGGTGGGGGGAGAGAGGGGAATCGATCACAATGACCTACCTATAACCCCTCCCAGAGGGATGGTCAACAGATAAGGGGGTAAAGGGAGACATTGGACAGTGCAAGACATGAAAAGACAATAATAATTTATAAATTATCAAGGGTTCATAAGGGAGGGAGGAAGAGGGAGGGGAAAATGAGGAACTGATAGCAAGGGCTCAAGTAGAAAGAAAACATTTTGAGAATGATGATGGCAACAACTGTACAAATGTGCTTGACACAATGAGTGGATAGATGGATTGTGATAAGAGTTGTACAAGCCCCCAATAAAATGATTTATTAAATAAATTAAAACAAAACAAAAAAACCACTGGACCGAGCAGTAGGCTACTGCCTGCAAACCTCTCGGTCCAGGACAAAGAAATTCCAAACTGGTTATAGTCTAAAATAGGAGGCTGGTTCAAGAGAGGGCTATTCTAGCTGTGATGTTCTTATCTGCTTGGCAGGGTAACAGGACACAGCACAGGTGCAGATGCTAGTTCGTGGTCTTTTAAGATCGTGTACATTTCTTGCTATCTGGGCAGGCAGGGTTTGGAGACCTCTCGGAAGAGTCCAGGTCTTGTTGGGAGAGTTGGAAGAGGGAAGAGGAGAAGGGAGGCTAACCGCTAGCAGAGCTTACAGGCAGTTTGAAACAACGTGGAGTTTCTCATGTTCAGCTAGGTGACCGCCGTGCCGTGCACCAGGACTTCCCACGCAGAGCTCCTTCACCTGCAGCACTTCCCGCCGTGTGTGGACACGTGTCCCGACTCACAGCAAAATGAAACACGGCGTGGTCCTGTGCCCCCTTCACGGGTTCTCATGTCCAAGCCCGTTGTTGCAGCCAATGTGTGCATCCATCTCCTCGAGGGTCTTGTTCTTTCTCATCCAAGCATGATGTCCTTCTCCAGGACTGGTCTCTCTTGACAACATGTCCGTAGTGGGTGAGATGGCGTCTCGCCAGCCTTGCCTCTAAGGAGCTCTCTGACTGTCATTCTTCCAGAGCACATAGATAGCTTTGTTCCTTCGGCAGCCTGTGGTACTTTCAATATTCTTCACCAGCACCGTAAGCAAAGTGGACTAGTGCCCCCCGGCATTTTATTTTGCTCACAGAAGCCTCATGACCCGCACAACTGATATTGCCATCAGTCCTACTCCAGCTCTCTGAATGAGCACCTGGCTCCTCCTCTCCTGCGCCCTCTCAGGCGGCCAGGAGAGGCTCGTTAACTCTATCGGCGATACAGAAGGTGTATTCTTTTCCCTCAAAACATTTATTGAACACTTACTAGGTGTTGACCTGATCTAAGGACCGAGAAACACCTCAGTGGCAAAACAGGCAAGACTTTGCCAATTCAAAGCCAGTGTCCCGATGGCATTAGAGAAACACAATAGAAACGCACGCGTGATCGTTTGTCAGACGGGGCTGAGTGCCCCGTTGAATCACCGGACAGACCCGCCTGGAAAATACACAGAACACGAGAAACCGAAGCAGCTGTGACTAATACAAAGAATCTCTCAACAGCGAGATCAATCATAAATGAGTTAATGACTGAATCAATCAGAAAAAATATATAGTAGTCCCTGCTTCAATTTCCTGTCACCACCCTCTGTTTCTGTGCATGCTTTTGGAAGAGTCTCTCTTCTGGAATTTGATGGTGAAGGTGGTCTTTGGAAACGCCGAGCCACCTGAAATCAGAGGTTCCTGCAACTCGGGAACAACAGCCGCTGGGTGTAGGCTGGCTGCAGCACTAGGACGTTCCAGAATAATCCCAGCACTTCCTGCCCTTTACGTGGGGGGAGGAGGTAACCACGTCATCCCAAATGACCCCCGAAGTGCTCACCCCTAAACTTAAAGGTGAACAGAAAGGAAGAGGCATTAGACCCACACAAAACTGAAGTCGTGCAAAGCCAGTGCTTTTTTTCTGGTCAGCTCAGTCCCTCTGATTGACCCCTGTGGTAGTGACATCATCTGTTGTCAAGTTGAGACTTAAGAGTGAAGGGGTGGAGTCTAGCCTGTCAATCAGGTTGCAGCTTGATGACCTCATTTGGAGGCACTAAGGAGATAAATAGCTCGCTGGAGGCGGGACACACGCTGAGAAGACACATGGAGCTAGGCTGCTGCCCTGAGCTGAAGGAGCCACGAGGAGACCCCTGCCAGCACTGAGATGCTTCCACCACCATTGGATCCACAAGACTTTCCACCCACTGGCCTGTGATCTTCCTGCATTTGGCGTCATTGCATGTGTTTAGTGAGTCGGAAGAGGTCTTTATAGATTGGTATCGGACGTATGGGCTAATATCAGAATTAAGGACTTGATCTGGACTGGGCTGAGGCGTTTTCTCAATATTCAATTTCTCCTGCCTATAAAGTTCTTTCCTATACACATATTCGAGTGCCTCTGGATTTGTTTCTCTTGTCAACCCAGATTGACACAAGCCGTGCAAAACCAATACTTTTCTTCTGTTCAGCTCAGTCCCCCCTCCCGCCACCCAATGTCTCCATTCTCCTCACATTCCCTCCCACCCCTCCCTGTTGTCCCAGCAGACAGCTGAACTCTCTCTTCCCAGGGTAGATGCCATGTACACAGGGGCCCCTCCCCTCCTGCCTTCCACATAGACATGCCTCAAGCTCTACGTAGCCATGCGCCAGCTTCAGCCTGCAGCAGAGGCTGCTGCCCCTACTCTGTTGCCTTTCCCTGCCCTGTCCCTGTGCCCTTTGTATCTGATCTCTGCCCACCTTCCACAGTCCTCCAGCTCCCCAGGCTCCTCCCTAGCAATTCGTAAACGCACTTAAATGCCTCCCACACAGTTCCCTCCCTGCCCAACTCCCTGGCCATCTCTTTTACCCTCACAGGTACATTCCAGAAAGCAGGTTACACTCCTAGCTACCATCTCCTGCCCTTCCTCCCTCACCCTCCACCTACCTCTGCCTCTTCCGGACACACACACACACACACATGCATTCACATTTAGGAGCACAGATCTGACAGGTCCCCTCTGTGAAACCTTTAATGACTTCACCCAGCTGATGGACAAAGCCCCAAACCCTGACGTGGCTGTGGTGGCCTGTGTGGTCAATGTCCTGGGGACCAGCTCCTCCCAGGTTTATCCTCTCCACAGCCCAGCCACAGGGTCCCTTTTGGGCAATTCGGAGGCACCCTGCCACCCACTGCTGGTCTCTGCCTGCTGTTTCCTTGGCCTTGCGTGTTTGCCCACTTCCCCTTCCCCCTTGGCTGGGTTAGTCTTCTTGCCACACAGTTTGACTGCACTGGCAACCACTGCTGAGCACCTAGCATGCCTGTCATTTCCTGTTTGCAGACATCTGTGATTAATGACTTTTCCTCCATGGAATTATCAAGTTCATCCGAGCAGTGAGAGGGAGTTCAGGCTGTGCTCACCAAGGTTACCCTGAACACCTAGCCCAAAGCCCAGGCCCGTGGTAGGAGGTCCTGGGTATGGGTGAACCGGTACATACTGGGTGTCATTATACCACTGTGAAATGTTTGCATTAGATGTATGAAATTGGTATTAGAATATTCCCTATCCTATTACTATTGTGTGATTATGCATCATAGTGACCTCAGAGGAGAACTGCTCCCCCCGACACCCCCCCACCCCCAGAGTTTCCTTGGCTGTAATCTTTGCAGGACTCTATTGTCAGGTATCTTCTCCCATGTTGGGTTTGAACCACTGACTTTGGGGTTGAGCTCTTAACAATTGCACCACCATGCCTCCTAATTGGGACCCAAGGTTATTCTGCCGGCAGAGCTAGGAAAAGTGGATGAGAGGTCTGGAGTCTGGTCAGAAAGCACAAACAGAGCGAGCGTGCCTGTCTTCCTGAGTGGCCTGCAGTCGGGCTGAGTCACCGTAGGATTACCCATGGAGGGTGGACATAGTGACTGCAGTGTGCTACTGACCCCACCACCGCCAGTGCCTGGCGAGTTCCTGCAAGGAACCCTGGAACCGCCCTTCTAAGAAACTGGGCATGTGCATGTGGAGGCCTACGTTGAGCTTGGATGGCAGCATGTCATGTGCCTCTATTTGAGCCAAGACATATAGCTTAGTTATTTTTGGAGTTCTGGCCAAAAAAGTAATTCTGACCAGCATTTTAGTCAACCCTGGTTTGAGTTTGATGCTCCGTGCAGCCACTGTTTGGATCCTCAGAACGCAATGATTTTGTTGTTTGAAGTCATCCTTCCCCCCTTTGATGGCCCACTGGATGAATGAATGAATATGCCGGGAGAGTTAAACCCAACAACTTAAACAGAGTTTAACCAACTGCTTTTCCCTGGCCTGGAATTAAGACCGGGGTTACATGTTTGATTTGGAGAAGATCAAAGATCAGCCATTGAGACTGTTGAAGATCAAATAGCATGACTTGCTTTGCCTCCCTCTGGATTCATTAGACATAGACTCTTCTGTGGAAAGGATGGGAACAACGAAGTCCTGAGCTGAAGGCCTCCAGTGGGTTGATGCTGTGGGTTGTAACTAACTAAATACCAGCTACACAAAGCTCCATCCTATCTCGGGGAGGGAGGAGAGGAGTTCTATTGGTACCCCCATTTTCCTAGTAAGGGAACGGAGAGTCAGACAGCTTAAGTAACTTGGTCAAGGTCACATAAGTCATCATTGACAGATCTGGGAATTGAACTTGTATCCTCAGACGTCAATCCCTTGTTCCATGTTCGACCTCCAGTATTGCCTTGAAAGAAGGGTCATTGTGAGTTTAAAAAAAAAAAAAAAAAGACGTGATAGTTAAAACATATTTGCATTATGGTGGGACCCAGGGGTTCCTAGCACTGTTTGAAAGGCAAACTCCCTCCAGGGGGAAGGTGGCAGTTTAGCCAGTCATTGGCATGCACGGTACACCAGTGCTCACTGAAGATCTTGGATACTCCTACCTCTCTCTCTCTCTCTCTCTCTCTCTCTCTCTCTCTCTCTCCCAGGAGGAAGCTTCTTTGAGGCCAGCTTGGAAAATGAAGAAAGCATTTCAGGCAGCGATTCAACCTTCTATAGGCAGTCAGAAGGTGAGGTTGCTTAAGACTCGCGGTTGATGGCAAGTGGGAGGAACGGAAGTGCCTTCAGATGCTGTCAGGGTCTCCGGGGTGCACGGTAACCCCTGAGTCGATGGTTCGTTGCTGTGTGGGAGTCTCCGCATCACTTCTTGTTACTACCCTGTGTGTGTGTGTCCAGGAGGAAAAGAGGGGAGTGTCTATCCAAGAGGTGATCCCTGGGGTAATGTTCACTACCCCACCCACCCATGATACTTTACATTCAGCCAATGTGGGTTCTCCTGCCATTGAGAGACAACCACCATCCCACAGGGAAGAAGCACACCAGCCTGTGTGATCACGAGGTGTCGAAGCGATCAGGCATCAGGCATCATCAGAACAAAAAGTCATATCCTTGTGAATGACGGGGAGTGTGGAGGCAATGGGACATTACCTTATGGAAGGGTCGCAGGGAGGAGACGAGCCAATCAGGGTGCAGTATAGCAGCGATGAAACATACAACTTTCCTCGAATTCTTAAATGCTCCCTCCCCACCCACTATCATGATCCCAATTCTACCTTGCAAGTCTGGCTAGACCAGAGGA